TGTCTTTTCTGAGGACTTATTTCTGCTTTGAACAGACTCAAAAGTTATTCTAAAATGCAGTTATTTTATTTATCCCTATATATTCACCTCATCTGCCATTCACACTAGACTGCACTGATAGTTGCACTTTGTTCCTTCCATTGGTCCTGTTCTTGTTTTGTTACTTCTTTAGTACACCATTTCTGGAGTTGTAAGGCGCTTTTGGATAGGGATTATGCTGCTCTTTCTCCTGAAAAATTACAAACTGGTGAGCTGTCTGATCATTGGTATCTTCCTGATATTTGTATGCTCTGTCCTTTTTTTTTTAACTCTTAAGTAATACATTTAACTGTCAAGAAAAAAAGTGTTCACACTGGATCGATATCACCGTCAGCTTTTTGCAATCCAGAACCGGTCCAACCGGGCAGCGTGGTGATAATAACAGCATGGGTTCGATGGATTTTCATGTTTGCAGAGAGACCTCGTGGTCCAAGGGCTGCAATCCAAAGACCCTAGGTATGGTGGGCTTCACAATACATAGGGTTACCTGAGGGGCAGGTATCCAGTCGTGACCAGAGGACAGGGGTTTTTGACCTTATGAGTCTAAGGTAGGATAACTCCATCAGCATCTCCCCAGCACCCTGACTCCCAAGGCTTCAGGTATGTTCCCTTCATGTTAGGAACCCCATCCAGGGAGTTCCATCTTTCCCATCTAATTAGGTTCCCCCAGATAGAAACCCTGAATCTTTTTTCAGGCAGTATGCTATTAACTTTAATTTTGAAAAAGAAATTGTACTAGCAGAGATTGCAGGATCAGTCCCAGAGATTGTAAGAATATTGAACTCTGGCATAGCAAACTCTGAAAACTCACCTGAAGAGTTTTACTAAACTCCTCTGAAGAGGAAGCAGAGGATTGAAGCAAGAATTACTTACTGACAGGTAACATGAGGTAGACAAAGTGTGCATTTCCTTCTCCACAGCAGGTATCTGTGATGAGCAGTGCAAACTAACTTCACTTCTTTCAAGGAAGACTGAAATTGTCCTGGTGGTTGAGGTCCCTGTGTTAGAAAAACAAGTTCTCTGCTTAGCTAGATGAAGCTGTTTTCACTGGGCTTACTGTTTCACTTGGACTTCAGTGATTTTGTGGAGCAGCAATAAAAGTTCACACCCTGTTTTCACCACACAAAGAACACATGAAAAAAATGTACACATGAAAAAAAAACCAAAAAACAAACAAGCTTTACTTAATGTGGTGACTTCACAAAAGAGTTTTCAGAAGCCAATAGCAGTGTCCCTTTACTGTGGCTGTTCACGTTTTGTTCATGACTGGGAATTGTAAAAAGTGGGGGCTCTCATTGCTAAAAGCTGTGTCATAACATGGCCTCTGTTTAAAGAGGAGCAGCAGGACACAGGTTTCAGGTGTGCCTGATGGGTGGATGTTGTTGATCCACAAGATGGCATGTTAAAACTATCCTTGTCTCAAAGGAGCAGGATCTAAACACTGCAGTGTTAGTGTGAACTGGAGCTAAAAGCTGTATATTTTGGAAAAGGAAAAGAAAGGAAGAACAATTTCAAATTGGAACTAGGAGCTATTTGAAATGTGCCCTTTTTATTTTTGCAATGCAAAATTTGAGTGTCATGGGGAAAGAGTGAGGAAGAGCCCTTTAACCACTGGAAGTAACTTGGTTTCTTCTTTTTCTTGGTATTGTGTTGAGTTTACATTCACAATATGTCAGTAAGTGGGTACTAATTTTCTGTGATTCAGCCACTACTGCCTCTTCCAGGAACTTATCAGGGGTTTCATAGAAACCAAATACTCCTATTGACCAGAGTTCTTGTGGTTTGGGGATTATTAATTTAAATTACTTTAACTTGGGCTATTCAAGATTTTAACTGTACTTGGAGGAAATGGAAGTTCACAGTTGTATTTTAAATAATAGACATTTGTAATAAGTATTTTTACTTTTATTTTCTTTTTATTTTTACTTAGTTTGTACTGTACTAAAACTGTAAATTTTTAACTCTTCTAGCTTTCATGCTATTTACAATTTACGTTTATTTCATTTTGAACAAAAAAAAATAAAGTAGTTCATTGTTTGATTCGCACAAAGCAATTTATTTATTTTATTTATTTATTATAAATTTGAATGGCAAACTGCACAGAGAATGTTAAAATTCAGATATAATCCTTTTTATTTAAATGGAATAAAAGAGTATAAATAGTTATTTTTGTAACATTTTTTACTCTCTTCTTTTGTTGAATATGCCCTGATGTTTCACTTGCCTTAAATTTGTGTTCTTCTTAAGGGTCTATTTTCAAATATATGGAAAAAGATGAAAAGGCTGCTGCTGACTTTAGTACATGTTAGATCAGACAGTCAGCTATTAATCTTTCACTAAATTCACACTTTCACCCGCACAAGTGTGGCAAGGATCTCTGAAGTATTAATAAAATCAAAATTATTGTTAATAACATTGTCTTTAGGTATCTAGGAATTAACATATTTGAAGAATTACTTCTCTGTTCAAATTTTTCTCACCAGCTCTGTAGTGTTCCCGGTCTGAAAAACATTGAGTGTATTTGAAGTCTTTTTGAGGGTTTTGTTGAGAACAGGAAAAGTCTGATTCAACTTTTTACGATTATTCCACAAACTGTCATCCAGACTTCCCCTCAACATTGGATTAGAAAAATCTTAATACAAAGGACTATTTATTTCCAGTCCCTGATAACTGCTCTTTTTTCAATTGCTTTACTATTGAAATGTTGCACGTTTAGTTTTTCCCAACAGTTGCTACGTTCCTTAAAGGGTGTCATTGTCAAAAGAGAGCTAATTGATTTTTATTTCAGAGAAAGGCATTATCTTTCCCAGCCATTCAGTTTACGTAAGTGTTTCCTACATGTGCCAGAATAATTTCTTGTCTTTTGACTAAAGGAGTGACCACAAAGAATCAGATTTATTGGGTTACACAGTAAGGGACCTTACTTGTTGACCTGAGTGAATTAAGAAAAAAACTCTTTACTGCTGCTTGTTTTTCATGATCTGCTGTTTTTCATCCCACAATGACAATATGCAGCCTCTCTGTAAACATAAGCAGCTGAGCTGTTAAAAACAGATCTGTTACCTGGCTCAGAGAACCATCCTAGAGCTTTAAAAAAGTTGTATTTGGACAGAGTGTGACACTTAGAATGGGAGATAACTGATACTGTGGCTAGAACACCACCAGGCAGTGTTCTGTATCCAGGCAAACTAGATAAGCTGTATGAGGACTTGCCATCATGGGGACACAGTGGGATAACAAGGTGCTTGTATAATGTTTCTGATCATATATCTGTTGCCCATTTTAATTCTGGTCATCTTTCTGTGTTCAGTATCTCTAAATGGTGTTCTAAGTAGGGATTATAAATTAAGCCCCTCTCAGAATTAAACTCTTACACAAACAGAAGATAATTATGTTGCTGAGTTCTTAAAAATACGGGTATAGGAATATCCAGTTTTCCCAGTTCAGAGATCTTTCAAATATTTCAGCTAGCTGCTATTGCTAAGATAAAACTTCCCCTTTGTAAATTAATTCCAATTTTATTTTAAAATAAAATGAGCTTTTATATAAGAAGGGCTGGAAATATGCATAGTTTGATAGATTTTTTTTTTCCTTTAGTAAGAAAGTATTCCGCCTGAATTTCCCTTGACGCTGTTTTTAACTATAGAAATAGATGAAAGGTTAAATCCAGCCTTCCAAATTCCTTCCTAAGAGACTTCTTTGTAGTCTCAGTAAATTTGCTGGTAAATCTTAATATATTAATGAAATAATTAATGTGATCAATCTCCAATTACACATTTTCCTTTTTCAAATGTGCCAGTCATTGACAATCTTTATGATAAAAGAAGGAGCTTATACTTTCCCAGATGTCTTCCTTCTTCAGTTCTTCATCTGTTTCCTTGATATCTTTTGCATAATATGATTACATACATTAAATCAGTAATGCCAATACAGGGGGAATGGGTTGTGTGGAAATGATCAATGTATTTCGTACATAAAGAGCATCTTTTTTTCTCTGTAACTTTTGTATATTTACACTGGTAATAAACAGATTAGCCTGTTGTGACAAAAAGTATTGGGGTTTGTGACACAAACTGTATCATGAAACCTGTGAAAAAGGAAATGTAATTTCTAATCAAAAATCAGTGTAACAATTCTGTACTTCTAAAAACTTTTACTAATAATCCATTAGTAGTTTACCTAGGCAGATGATAGAATCTGTTTCCATAGTGCTGCACATTAAATCCCATCCATTTAACATCTCTGATCCTAATAAAGAATGTGGTATCTGTCTTCCTGTTCTGTCTCTGCCATCTGTAAAACAGCTGTACTGATTTGCAGGTTAGCCAGTACTGACTTTTCTTGCAGTTGGCAAGCTTACCTAGTCTCTAAATCAAATAGTCATTACAGTCATGAAAAATGTTTTAAGTTCTACCCATCAGTAAAAAGAAAAAACAGTAAAATACTTATTAAAACCTGCTTTAAAAAAAAAGGTCTTGGTGTGGGAAAATAGTAAGTACTAAGTTTAAATGTGAAATATTAATTCAACTTCTCTGTGCATAACCATTATTACAGTCTGATCATTTGTTGTGATGTAATCAAAGAGTATTTTAATGTTACTTGATCTAGCTAATAGTGAGAACACCTCTCCATTATAAATACCAAAATATCTGTAGAGAGTATATCTGTATATAATAGCTCCTATATCACTACAGATTTTTTTTACTTAAATTTTGAAAGGTATTCAGTGGCTGAATTGGAAGCACTAACACTGTAGTCAGGTGATTTAAAGGTATTATGTAAATAGTGTTCAGAAACTATCTCCATACCTGGGATTCTTGACATACCATAAGCCAAGTGTGATCCAGTAAAGGATCAGTTATACTTGAACTTTACTCTGACAATATGTTAAATCCTGATTTCAGTAACAGCCAGCCGAGACATATTGTTAAGTGTCACGCTTTTGTTTTTTTCTGTTTCAGCTGAGACAATCCCAGTCATACTGCACAGACACAGAATGCCTTCAGGAATGTGAGTAACTGTTCATATCAGGTTCATGGAACTAACATGAACAGCAGTAATTAAAACACAGTCTGACTGTTCTTTAAAATGCAGCAGTTGATTTAATGTTATAGGAACATATTACATTAAATCAAATACTACAGTAATAAAATTGATATGCTGGGGAGGTAGTTTCTGAGAATCTGTGATGAGCATTTGTACATTAGAAGCAACATTGATGAGAAGCCCGAAGGTACCAATAAAACAGCATAACCATTAATCAGGCCCCAAGTATTACTGAATCTTATTGTTAGCCTCCAAATATGATGATTTGAGGGGAAAATTTGGAAAGGTGCTTTGTTTGTCCTCCTCAGATTCAGAGCAGCCTAACCAATGAAGACTAGATACTGAGCACAAGATACACAGACACACACGTGTTCACAGCTGAGGCTGGGTGATGTGCTGTCAGTACTGTGATCTCTCTACTACACTGTGAGGAAGAGGAAGCTCTGACTCATAAGCTGACATACACCATGACTGCATCTCTGTTGATTTGGTGCCTGTGTAGTTAATGAAGCAGAGCACTGATCTGTACACTTCCTTGGAATTCATTGTGAAATGCATCAAAAAACCTCTCCCAAACAGTGAACAGTACTAGGTCAGTCAAACATTACCAGAATCATCAGTGAAGCATAGCTGTGGGGAAGTTATGCAGTAATGTAAGCATGCCCTGAGGCATTGAGACACTCCCTGATACAATTTCTGTGAGCTAGAGGGAATGTTGTCAAATGTTCCTAAGTAAAAGTGAAGGGGATCTGTTTTTCCTATATCAACTTTACCAACTGAGCACTCACTCAGCTTGCATCAGGACTGCTGTAATGCTTTAAGGGAGCAGCAAGCACCTGAGCAGTGTTCTTATAAGCAAGACCTGCTTGTGCCTGTATCTTTTACAGGTCTAGGAGCAGTGCAAGCAAGGTTTCCAGCATCTTGGAGAGAGTGCATGCCTTCATTCACCCTTATGTTCCTACCTCTTCACTTCCCTGTAAAACCTGTTTAGAGATGGGCATCCAGCTCAGAGTTGACTGGGCTCTGCCACTATGAAACAGTCCCAGATTCAGTGCCATGAATGAAGGGGAAAAACTGAGCTGTCCCACATAACGCCTGAGGAAAAGATGGTGTGGTGCACATGTGCTGTATAGTGCTGCTGGTTTACTCTTCTTTTATGGGCTTTGCAAGTTACACTGTCTGTGACTTCCATCACTCCTCTTCCAAATACACCTGTCCAAGGGCAGACTTTTTAGTCTCCCACACCTTAGACTTCTGTGTAGATTTTCTAATCACAGGCATGTGGGAGAGAGAAAGAGGCAGATGATGGGAGATAGAATATTTTCTATATTAGAAGGAGGCACAGGCAGGGTGTGGAGCTTTCTGAGCTTTAGTCCTCTGTCAAAACCAAGCCATGGTAGGTCATTCTCAGTCTTGCCTTGGGAGTCTTGGGCCATCACTATTTATGAAGCTTTTAGGCTAAAGACTATGTAAATGAGTAAATTCTGGTATGTGTGGGCACAAAGCTTGTGGGATAGCTTTAATGTTACCAAGCTGTAGTACAGTGGGGATTTGAATGGTTTGCAACAAATAGCTTTCCATTCTGAGATTCTTGCAATAACTGACTGGGCAGATGCAAGCAATTTGGCAGTAATTGTTCCAAACCAGTGGTTTCTTTCAAAAACCAAAGCAAAAATTACAGAGTAAATCTTTTCCTATGTTATTATACTGCCTTAAATGTAGTTCTAGCAAAGGTATTTTTCTGCTGATGCAACAGTACAGCCCTGCGTATTTGCCACATTATTTTGTGGTGCTTCTGTAATGCTGTGCTTGTGCCAGACTGTAAGATCCCGGGAGTCAAAGGCAAAAACAAACAGATTGAGCCTGAAGAAGCTTCTAGAGATGTTTTCAAAAACATATTAAAATAGTTCTGGCCAGTCTTTTGTCCATTGCTTCATCCTGTTTTTATGAGCTGTACAGTGATGAGCTTACGTTTGAGGTGAGTCTTCTCTTCCCTAGGTCTCACAGCTCTATTTCCTGTTACTTGCTGACTTTGATTCCTCGTTTCAGAATCTCAATATGAACAAGTTTGTTTCACTCTCACCAATTCACTCATTTTTGGAATTTGGTCTTCCTTCTGGAAGCACAGCTGGGAATGTTGTCACACACAGATTCTTAAGTTGCAAGGTTGTGGAATAACTGATGAGATGTGTATGGTTTTGTTTTGAGAGACATCAGGGCTGGGGTTCAGCCAATGTTACAGCAGCATCATGTGTTGTGCTGCTGCTACCAGCTGGAAATTTTCAGAAACACCCTCTGTTGATTCTTCCTGAGCATGCTTTGTTTTTTCAACCCTTGATTTCAGCTCTTTTTTTCTTTTGTTTTTTTGAGCCATATCAAGGCAGTCTCCCTCATTCAGTTTTTTGTGTTATTATCTATAAATTCTTACTTACAGTTATTGGCACCATTATGTCATAGTGAGTTCCCCGACGAATTTTCTGCCATGGTTAGGACCAGTGTTTTTGGACTTAGGCAGAGGAAGGTATGAGCATCAATTCAATAAACATTTGGGCACTCTGCTTGATAGCTCTTCATCTGCTGGTTCTCCATCAGAATATCTGCTGTGACATTAAAGCATGTGTCAGAGTCTGATGATTGTTCCCTCCATTTCAGTGGGTGCCTTGCAGAAAAGAAAAGGCTCTAAGTTTTGAATAGGCAACACATTTAATGTTCTGTTGAGATTGTTATTGCTCAGCAACTCGGAAGATCTTAGAGTTTCCCTTGAAATGATGAATAAGAGCGATAATTCTTTTCTGAATTCTGTCTAATGCAAGTGGAGCACGGAGGTTCTCTGACATGTGGCAGTTGCAACATCAGCGGTTCATCCAAACTAGGGAGGATCCCAGCTGGTACTGATCTGCTCTGGTGGCTCATGGCCCTTCACAGTCAGCCTTCTGTGTCAAAGGAAATGAGGTACTACTGCCTGAGTTTTCTCTGTGTTCTAGCAATTCCCAGATGTTGTGACCTCAATTTACCACATTCATATTTTCAGCACTATTCTCAGTGCTCTGCTAGGTTGTAATGTGGTCAGAGATTACTTTCTCAAACGTTGCCTACTCTACTTGCAAATTTTTATGCAATTTAAAATGAATATATATCTGTGATTCATCGTGATTTGTATTCATCTAAGGCAGTCACAGCAGCCTAACCTAACTTGAAATGTCTGCCAGCTCTTCCCTCCCTTTTCTGGGAATTCCCTTCTCCCTTCCTCTGCTCAAGTCCATTTTGGCTTTCTTTGGGTTCCTTATCCCTGCAGCTTGCAGGCATTATCTGCTGAAGGTCCCACAGGCTCTTTGTCATCCCTGATGATTCACTTCTAAAATCCCTCTCTTCATACAGTTTTGTACCTTTCCTTCACAGAACAAGAAGCAAGGCTTAAAGCACCATGAAAAGAAGACATAAGTCAGAGAGCATGCTTTTGCCTTCCTGCATGCAGATGTTTAACAGTTTTTACCAGGGTCAATCTGTTTGTACTCCAAAAGAAGATACTTCTACCATGAGAGGGCAGACAAAAAGCACCACATACACTTTTACAGTAAAATAAATTAAATTTCTCCTCTTTCTTTAGAGAGAGTACAACCTCACTCTGAAGGCAAAATTGCAGTTTAAGAGAACTAAATTCATGTAAGGGTATTTAACATGGGCACTTAGTAGTCTTAATATTGTTTTCTTGAGATGTCAGTTGCACAATCAGGAATTGGTTGACCTTTAATCTTTAAAACTGTTTTTACAAAATTCATCATTTTAATAGCTGTTACTGCCTTCTAGAACCTCAAATAATCTTCAAACATCTGTCACAAATTTTTTTTTTTCTAATTCCCCTTCCTTTCTGAGAGAAGACTAGTTTGTGTGGCCTAGTCTATGCTTCTGTAGGAAAAAGCAAGTCCAAAAACTGTATCTCATACATGAAGCAACAGATAAGATTCACCATAGTCTCTAACTCTTGTGGGAGTTAATCTCACAATCTCAGACCAGCTCCTCATCAAGCTTTCTCCTGCAGAGAGATAATTCAGCCATACTGTAAAAAAATAAAAAAAGCGTCATTCAGAAGTGTGTGGGTATATATGTAAGCCAAACCCAGGGGACCAAATACTCTGAAAATAAAGACCTTGAGCTGGATTCAGTGTTGCATGAAGAGGTAGGTTAGAGACTATGTGACATGTCTCTCAGTGACATGGGAATATGTACTGTTAAATTCTGTTCTAATTGGTGTCTCTGGAGCATTGGAGATAAATAACCAGATCCATCCATCAAACTGTGTGGTGGCAGGAACATTCATCTCAGACCAGGACAATCTTCTATCCATCTGAAAATATTAGAAAATACCATTCACAGGTACTCTTAGAGGATAACCTTTATTCTTCAAGGAATCAAAACATCACTTGTAAATTACTTGCAAAAAAATACCAGTTACAGATAAAGGCACTGTGACTGCAAACTCTTAGTAACAGGACTTTTTTTTTTTCTTCTGCTCATCACCATGAATTCCATGGTGCTTGTTTGCACCTTCACTCAACTGTTCTTTATCCATAAGCTGGTTTTATTTGACTATTTTGTGGATGATCTCAGGGATGGAGGTCTTTGTAGCAAGATTGTTGTCTCCTACATATTACTGCTTCTGGTAGCTGAAATAGTTGCCTGTCTGTTCTCTTGATTTGTGATGCAAAGCTTTGAAAAGTTGGATTCAACCCCAGCTATGTGAAATTTTGCTTATCCTCTTCCCCATAAGAGATTAAAATAACAGAATCTGAAATATCTCACATCCTTACTAAAGCACAGGGTTATTTGTGAGAGATGTGGGTTTAACAGTTCTTGGAAAGTATAAACATTGTTGTGTCTGTTTTAGTGTCTGGCATGCCTTCAGTAGGTAGTGAAGGGCCAGTTAGTTCAGAACATGTTTCAGCACATTTGGTTCCATGTGAATTGTATTACCACACAGGCTGGAAGAAACTGTGTCTTGCAAGGAATGCCTGTGGTTTAGCTCTGTGGTCCCTTATGCTCCCTTCCCTCACCTGTAGCATGACCTGATCTGGCATCATTTGCTTACCCCAACTTTTGCCTAACCACCACAGACTCTAAGTGCGCTAATGTTGAGGAAAATTTCTAGAAGGCAGTCGGACTAGTCCATTTATCTGCATTGTATGGGGAATCCTGACTAACAAGTCATGTGAATTTTCAGTCTTCTGCCAGAAATATTTGCCAAAGCAGGTACCTAAGGCCTTCTTGTTGCTGAAGGTAGTCTCAGAATGGCTATTAATGTTGTCTGGAAGCCCCAAAATAAAGCAAAGATTTTCAAAGGTTTAAAATATTGACATATGCTGCTGATAATAATATTTTTGTCAACAAAACTGAAGGCCTAAACTCTTACCTTCACAATTCCATATGCTTTCAAAATCAATAAAAGCTGCAGCATTCTTATTTATTTTCTGTGCACTATACCGCCTCCTCATATATAAAGCCCTTTGTTCACTCAGATTTTCAAAAGAATTCTCACTTGTAATTGCATATTAATCATAAAATTCCTCTACATTTGCAATTTATTGAGTTTTGAAATGTCTCTGTTTTGGACATTTAAAAGGCTAAAGCAGTTTCATTTGCTCATATATGTAAATGGTGGTGTTTGTGCTGTGAGAAGCATGAACTTCATAGTTCATGACAAAATGCATAGTTTTTTTTTCTTATTTGACATTTTTGAGTGCATTTGATGTCAGTAAAGGACATCGATCCAACAGCCCTATCTCATGAAGGCTAATACCCAGAGCAGCAGTGTGGATAATGGCATAGGTGTAAGCTTCCCTGCAGGGCCCCTCTGCTGTGTTATGAACAAATCCTTTCCATGGAAGAGCCTCTGTTAGCAATGCTACCCAGGATGACATTAATCGGGGTGGTTCTTTGGTATCAGCATTAACCTTCAAGTAAATTATTCCAGCAGGGTGTAAGTTATCAAGTAAATGTTAAATAAGAACAATCCAATCAATACTGAATCCAGACTTGACTCCATGATCAGGTGATACACATAAGACAACTTGAAAATATGACAGATACAAGTAACTCTGTGGAGTTTTCTGAATGTTAAAATTTTCATCTTGAGTAATAAAATAGAGCTCTTCTCTTTCTGAAGGTTAATCATTATAGCTTTGAACTAATTCCTCTGTATCAATTGATAATCTAGATCATTAATGAAGATGTTAGGCCTTTAATACTATGATAAATGGATTCATGTTAAGTACTGTAGGTAATTTGCAATACATGGGTTTACACTTCAGCTGACAAGATTAGTTACTGTTTGATTACTTGAAGTTATGTTTCAGAGGAGAAAAGTTGTTTTAAAATGTGCAGGTATTTGCAAGAGTTTCTTGATCTAAACGCATAAACCAGCTGTTTCCAGCCTGAAGGTATTTTCTTAAATTTACTTCCATGTGTTGATGTTGCAGGAATTCTTTATGGAAATTTTATGTAAAATTTTTGTATTGCATTCCCAGGCTTCACTTTGGAATATATCTCTGCAGCATTTTTTCCCCTCCTGCCAGATATGTTGCTGGCAGAAATACCACATGATCTGGATGATCAGTCGTGGAGATTTAGCGTATTGACATTGAAACATCTTCAAACAAACTCTCAAATAACTTGGAGTCAAGAAATTGATTACCATTAGTTTGCTCCCTTCTTGCTAGAATTAACATGTTCTCTGTGTGAGGCCTAACAATGGAGCCTAAACTTTTACCACTTTAGTCTTACTGTTTTATTTGTTTGAGGCAAAAAACTTAAGTTCAACATGCATATGGGCGGTTTTCCTACATAAGTATATTTTGCATCAAGTTTGATTTCTTAAAAATCAATTTTAACTTCTTAAATGTGAAGAGTGTGTTTATCATCTCCAGTTCACTAGGAGTTAACATGAACTAAGAAATATTCATGATAGTTCTGAGAATACCAGTGAAATCTTATGAAATAGATAATTCTCTTTTCAAATGGATAAGAAATGTGATTTAAAAAAAAACCAGTAATACTATCTCAAAGCCAAAATGAGGGACTAATCAGAACACTCCACTAAAAAATATTTCAGGGATTTTTTAATGAGATTGCATTTTTGTTTTCACTTGGGGAAAAGAACTGTGCTGTTACTCTGTTATAACTTGATTTTTCTTCCTCTGTAGTGCCAGGACCAAACTCCTCCGGTGACAATGGCATCAGCTTTGCCATGATAATGATGGCCTGGGTTGTGATTGCACTTGTCTTGTTCTTACTGAGACCTAGTAATCTAAGACGATCAAACACAGCCAGAAAGGCAACCAGCCAACACAATGTAAGTGCATCTTCAAGTGCCCTGCAGAGAGATTCTATAATAGCTTAAATCTATTTTATGTGATTTTATACATCATACACACTGTTTCCAAGTAATTTTTTTCCCCATTTTTTCCCCTCTATTTTCTTGGAACTCCATTAAAAATTAAAACGAGTTGAACCAAAGTGAAAGGAATCATGAAGGCTAAGTGTAAGGCCTGCTGTAGAATGGAACAGGTGCAGTGTCCTCTGGACACTGTCTGTCCCTGGTTGAAACTGCCTCCTACCTTCTTAGGTAAAAGGGGTCAAGCACAGCTTTAAACAAAATTACAGCATGATACTTTAAGAAGGGTGATCTTTGTCCTAGATGTGGAGTCATGAAAAAATCTCAGTTTATACAGGGAAAAGTAAAGTTTTTTAATGCTCATTTGCTCTTAATTAATTTAAGAGATATTGAAAAAACATGAAAGAAAACATAATGCAACACTTCTGAGTTCTTCTACTGCTAAATCCTCCTATGTGAAGCACTGTTTCTAATTCTGTACCTGCTTTTTTTTTTCCTTTCCTCCTTTCTTCTCCCAAGGGACAAGAACCACCAGCCCCACCAGTGGACTAGAGCATTCAGTATTGGAAAAGTTCAGCAGCTAAAACCTTGCACGACCAAATGAACGAAGTGACCAGATTACTCTTAAACCGCACTCAATATGGTTTCCTTTTCTCATTTATATAGAGCAGAGTTATCAATCAGCAGTAATCTTCATGAACTGCTTTTAGTGACTTCAATTTTAAGTTAATTTTTGCTTTGTATGTTACTACAATTCCTATAAGATTGTAATTTGAATAATGGTAAGGCATTGCAGGGGTTTTTTGGTTGTTACTGTTACTGTGGACATTCCACTCAGTCTCTTTCTATTACAGTGATCCTAATTTCTTTGCCATGATTTCTGATAAGCATTGAACGAAAAAGAAAATCCCAGTCCATCTATAAGAATGAAAGGTTACTGACCTTTCTTCAGATTAATTCGTACTACTTCTCTAGTATGCTTTTGAGAGTTATATTGTGGTTGGAATTACATAGTTATGTCCTGAAAAATAGAAATTGTTTTATATTTGCCCTGGTTTCAGAGCAGCTTTTCTTCTGGTGTTTGGACCACTAACACAGTTTCCAGGATTGCTGGCAAAAGCATGGATTGTCCACCAGAATTATACTGTGTGTGTGTGTGTGTGCATGCGTGTGCGCGCATGCACACATATGTAAGTGAATGTGATGATTGCCACTGTCAAAGTTTTGATCTATATATTGGGAACTTTACACAAAAGATTATATCACAAAAAAAGTTAATTTAGCCATTTTCATTAATAAATTGTATGTCTTATTCAATACATTGTCAAAAAAACATACTCTAAACCCAGGTGTGTTTACTTGATCCAATGATAAATTTAGTAAGAAGAGCCTGGTAAAATTTTCTGTTCTGGCATAGTCTTTTCATAATTGGTACCTTAAGAAGTTTTCAGCCATGATGTAATGTGTACTGGACAGGATTAAATCAGACTAAGAAGTTATCACAGTTACCAACTTTTGGTATACAACATATACTGGATTATTCAATTTTTTTCACCTGTATGTTATCAGCAATTCTTAACATTTCATCCTTACGTACTAGTAATTGTAGAATAACAAACTTGCAGGTGACTACATATGACATGTCTCTTCCCTCTAATATTTGTCTGTATGCGTGTATGTTCAAATGCGTGTATGTGTGGCTGTGCACACACCTGTGCACATCTCCCATTATGGCAAATGGGAATTACTTTTTTTATGTACATTTATTTAAGAACATTTTAAAGATGTACAGAAAAGCAACACTGTATATTTTTCTTGTTCAATTTGAAAAATTGATCAGAATAATGTAAAGAACATTTTTATGTTACCAACATAAAACTTCTTTCCTTAAAGGTCAGTAGAACAGACATACAGGAATTCTAAACCTTAGTCTACAAACCTTTATTTCATGAGGATTTCAGTTATGGAGCTGAAGGAACCAATTGTTAAAGCTCAAAAAGGTTTGTATTAATGGGGTTGTCTTGGTTTGAAAGACAGGTGTCTCCTAAGGAAGGCAGAAGCCTCCCTTGGAATGGAAAATGTAAACCCCTTCCCTCCAAATTATTATAATTTTGATATTAAGGGGCTCTCAGGCAAAGATATGGGAATAGGAATAACAGATCTTTACACAGGGCAGGGGCGGGGATTCCCCCGCGCCGGCAGGGGGCGCTGTGGTGCGGGCTCGGGCCACACGCGGTAATGGCGGCTCGGCCGGGACGGGAAGGGATGGGAGAGAGGCTTTGCTGCACAAACCCCCCTGGGACATCGATCCCGGGCCCCTGCAGGACTCTCGGGAGCAGCAAGCAGGGCCGGCAAGGTGTCTCGGCAGGCAGGGCACGCGGGGCTACAGTGCAGCGAAAGCTCGGAGCAGCGCCGAAGATGCGGCGGGGGCGAGGCAGCGGCAGCCCGGCTCCCAGCAGGGCATGGAGAGGCGAGCTCAGGATCCCGGGCAGCCGAGCAGATGGTGAAAAGTCCCTCTTTTAGTGAGGTAGGTGTTAATAAGGTCTCAGTTCAGTGGCTGCCCTCACGAGCAGAGGCTCACCCCACGGCGAGCAGAGGCTCACCCCACGGCAGAAGAAGCAGGTCTGGGCTGGGCTCCGCCGGCAGCCCGTCTGAAGCCTAGAGAGAGACAGAGAAGAGTGTGTCCTCCTCCCCTGAGCTTGGCCACTTCTTTTATATTTCTTAAGTACCCAGTTGTTAGTGTTTCCTAGCAACTTACGGGCAAAAATAAGTAAGAAGGAACAAAAGGAAAGAAACCTAACCCCCAACAGGGCTCTAACAAAAATCTCACATCAGATCCCTTGGTTGACAGAGGCAGGATTTTTTCTCTTCAGGGTAAATGATGAGCAAGCTAAGCCTCCTTATAAAGGTACAGTGTCTCAAGAAGGGTTTCTGTGATTTGATGTAATTGACATTTGAATTTCTGTGGAATAGTGTGCTTCTAAGCATAGGATCATGTTTAAAAAAAAATAAATAACATTATCGGGCCAGGTGCTCTCAGCAACATCAGTGCAGTGCCATGTAAAGCAGTGAAACTGCTGGGGAGAAGCTAAGAGAATTTGTCCCATTATGTCTAATAATATACAGGCCATAAACACTGTGTAAAGTTGTCACTGGGACAAGCACTCTGCCTGTGCTTGCTTTTTGCCTTCCATGTACATTTATGTTTGGGATACTGTTCAGAACAGGTAATACAGCATCATTTTTTTGAACCCACAAGGAAACATATATAATCTTCCACACTGACCTTTTTTCTCTAAGGATTTTTGGCCACAATTCTTCACTACTGGAAGCATAAAACAAGCTTCCAATTGATTAAAAAGCCAACTGAAACAGGCTTATATTCAGAGAGAGCACTACTCCTCATCCTGTTGAGAGTTGGTGAGATTTACAGGAGATGGTCCTCACTTGTGAGGATCAGTCTCACTTAAATGTCTGTTTATGTATTTACAAACCTTACGTGCACCCAGCTCTAAGAGTCTTGGCAAGTGAACTTTTTGTTCAGAGGGATGTTGTGGTTTACCTTTAAATGAAATGTCTTTGCTTGAAATTCCTTTAATTGTCCCAGTGATTTTATACATGTATGCTTTCCTCATGTAAATTGCTATTTTAAATTTTCTATGTAAAAGAAAAAAAAATTGGAAATATTTTATTGTAAAATGTTTTACTAAAGAGCCTGGCCACTATCCCACATCAAAATCTCTGCCTTTTAAATTCAGATACTCTCTCCAAGATACAAATTTCAGATCAGCACTCTTAATTAAAATAAAAGTAACTAACCATAGGACTGTATTTTGCCACTCTTATTTGTGTTAAGTAGTGCCTTACTCATCAAGTAGTTGCACTGAAGTTTGTGGAACTACTCTGAGATAATGTACTAGTAGCAGCTTTAGTAAGGGTGGCAGAAATCTGGCCTTTAGTGATGTAATTTGTGATTAAATAATTGTATCATGGTTTCAGATGTTTATGGTAAATTCTGGGAAGTGTGGAAGAGATTAGTGGTATGCAAAGCTCTAGGATATGATCAGTTCTGTAATGATGGATTTAAGCTTGGTTAGTAAGAGATGCAAGTTGTAGCAACTTGGGAAATATGGAGAGAAATTTACAATTATACCTTAACTTTGTTAAAACAATAGTATTTTTAGAGTCTGCTTAACACAATTACTATACTCTGAAATGAGAAATCATATGTGTATTCATGCACTGCCTGCAGATCACTTAGCCTTGTAATACTCATGGTTGAAAAAGGAAGAGTGATGATGTCATGTACGTAATGTAAATTGGTGGTTTCAAATATCTGAATTATGCCAAACAAAAAATCATCTGTGCCATTTGCAGTTTCTTAGTAATCTTTTACTGAGTACTTGGATTGGGATAAAGGGCTTGTACTATGCACTTTTTATTGACTTAACAAAATAAATAGCAATCATTAGTAAACTTTTGTCTTTGTCTTTCAGTTTTTATATAGGATACAGGACTGCACCATCCTATCATTTTTTAAGGTAATTTGAAATCCTCTAAAAATAAGAATCAGTAAAATTAGTGTGTCACCTGTGTAACTTCTAAAACGCTCTAAAATTCTAACTTTTCTAATGGACTGTTGTCTACTGTATGTATCTCAAGCAAGACAACAAATGAAAAGCAGTTTCCAAGTTTAAGATACTTTGATGGCCAACATGGATGCCTCTTCCTTTTGCTCTTTGAAGTAGTTAAGCAATGTAGAAATTTAGAAATAGTACAGTAAGAAAAGTACTGACAAATATGCTGATTGTGTTGCTTTGTTTTAGATCAAATCCTACTACTTTGGGATTTGCAATCTATTTTCTAGTTCTAGATCATGGCAGTGTTGCACCCAGAGCTTCTCTGAGGAAGGAAGACGCTGCAATGGCTCTGAGTGTGTAGGAGTAGGAGAGACCTGCTGCTTCCTCACTCTTCCCATGAAGTGCAGCACTCTTCTCTGGAAGCAGAGCACAAAATTCTGAGCACTGCCTCAACTCACAGCAACTCAGATCCCTCATTAGGGACTCCTGTGTTAATGTGAGGAAGAAAAGGAGAACCGGGAGAGCATTAGGGTTTAAAATAATATACAGCCATCCAGAGATAGTGATAATAAATACCAAAGAATCAGAAACAAAACCAGAGTAATAATAACACCAATAAGTAAAAAATGTTTTAGGCATTTGAGTCAATCTAGAAAGTACAAGATCTTAATCAGATACCATTAGTGTCTGCTCATCAAAATTTACCTTTTTAATCAAACATGAGATTATAAATAGCCCCTAAAACTAAAGCTAAACTTTTAAGTACACTTGTTAAAATGTTTGCCAAGGATGCATATGCCTATTGAGAAAAGTGATGCAGAAAGGAAATTGCCACAAATCTAAATTCATATTGTTGAATGGGTATGTACAAGGCCTAGCTGTTGAAGATCACCAGGTAATTTGAAATTACTGTACCCTAAAGCCTAAAAAAAACTTATGCTATCTAGAATATTTGGGAAAAATACACCAAATCGTTGTAGCAAAATAGTCCATTAAGTGGATTCCTTGCAAAAATAGACTACACACATCCTCTTCTCCTTTGCTTTATTTATTCAGTACCAGCCAACTGCCTACACTGCCATTCACTGCAAAGATCTGGACCTTGGGGTAGAGGAAGATACAGAATATTCCATGCTAAACAAAATCCTCACTTGTGAAACAACACAACTCTTACCAGCTTCTAGGCAATATCAGCTGAAGATTTGTGTGTTCATTTAAAAAAAAGGAACTGAACACTAGTGTCAAAATTGCCAACTCCCATAGCAGACACTTTGTAGATAAATATAATAACTAGTAGGATCTGGCTTCCACATTACCTTTTTAACATCTGCAGGTCAGAGCATTGGCCAGAGGGGGTGTCTGAAACAAATGGACCCCAATATTTGGCAATACATATTAATTCACCATATATATACAGCTTTTTAAAGATTTCATTCTTGCTTTTATGGAAAGTGTTATTGTAAAATACTTACTGAAACTATAGCAATAATTTATAATCAAGGATCACACGTAGCAAGGTTTAAGAAAAAAGTCCTTTGCATTTATTGGCTTTGTTGTTACCTCTTCCCAGCTATAACTGATGAAAAAAGGAGTAATTTTTGTGACTATGTAGTTTTCAGACTTATAATTAGTTTCAAATTAATTTCTTCTGCTGTAAATCTGTCCTTAAAATGTAAAAAAAGAGCCTAGAGATGAGAAAATACATTTCCTTTATCAGACCAGTGAAAAACCCTACCA